AGCATCCAGAGCGCTTTTTTTTTTGGGGGGGGGGGGCATGGATTGGGAGTCATAGTAATAATTTCTAACAGCCGTGGTGGCTAGTCACAATTCTTTTAGCTAGAAGCATCTGTCAGGAAGAGCGTGCCACTGGCGAAAAAAACCTACGGGAGGACTGTGCAAAAAACGCATCCTCGCACCGGCAGCCGGTACGCTTTCGACTAAGTTTTATATTTTATTTTCTACTTGGTAACTTTTGTGTTGCCTAATTTTATGTGAAATGTTTCAGCTGACTCCTTATCCGTTGTCGGTTTTTGTGCGTTTTTTGCGGCTATGCAATGCGGAAAACGCATACTGACGAGAGGTTGTCTGTGTGTGTCTGTCTGTGTGTCCGTGTGTGCGCCTGTCGCGGTTTTTCATCTCAAGACCTACAAAAACTACAAGGTTGAAACATTGGGAACTTAATCTACATGCATGTACGGGCCCAAATCCCCAAAATGGACGTCATTACCCGCGTGCCACCCACGTAAGAGCCCGCTAAAATTTTTTCGGGTAAGTTCATAACTCGGGGATATGAGAAGCTAGACGCTGAAATCTTAGGAGAACATTCCCCGCCCAAGTAGGTATTAATGAGCTCAAAATAAGCCCCCGGGTAAGCGTGGCACCCGCGTATGAGCCGACCCAAATTTTTTTCGGGTAAGTCCATAACTCGGGGATCTGAAAAGTTAGAATGCTGAAATCTTAGGGTGATTTTCTTCGTCTAAGCAGGTATTAATGAGCTCAAACCCAGCCTCCGGGTAAGCGTGGTACCTGAGTACGGCATGCCAAAGTTTTTTTCGGGTAGGTTCATAACTCGGGGATATGAGAAGCTAGAAAGCTGAAATCTTAGGGGGATATTCCCGTCCAAGTGGGTATTAACGAGTTCAAACCGTGCCCGCGGGTCAGCGTGGTACCTACGTACAGGGCCGTGAAAGTTTCTTCCGGGTAAGTTACTAACTCAGGAAAGTGAGAAGCTAGAAGACTGGAATTTTGAAGGGATGTTTCCTGACAGTCCTGGCTGCCAGTCTGAAATTCTTTTAGTTAGAAGCATCTGTCGGAAAAACCAGTGCCGTTAGCGATAAAAGTCTGCGGAGAGCTATGCAAAAACGCATTTTCGCATGGGCAGCCCGAGCGCTGGCCGGTTATTTATTTAGCTTGTTTTGATCCTCTTCTTACGAAATCTCACAACATTTAATTTTCAACTCCTTCTTCAAATTAGCGAGAGCAATCTGCAAAACTGTACCTATTTTTATTGATATCTTTATTACTTTCATAAAAATTCCAGAACTGGGTGAGAAAGAGCTGGATGGATAAGTGGACAGACGGAGACAAATGAGATTTAGAAGAGAGGAAAGGATGAACTCGCAGCAAAAGCAACTTGCCTGGAGAAGATAATCAATCTGGACTGATGTGCGCATATCGCAGTCATTCACTGCAGAAGAGTGCTAAAAAAAAAAACTAAGCGAAATAAGACTCGCAGGTAAACAATTTTAAAAAAGAAACAAATATATCATATTTATTTGGGCCTTTAAATTGCCTGACAATAAACTGATGCTCAGAAAGGAGACGTCAAAAAGCAAATATCAGAAACAGTACCAGCACCTCCCGGAAGATATCCAAATATCCAGACAAATGACACTTCAACGGATGGCCACGACGCTGATGGACGGATTCAAAGCTGGTGCGCATACACTTATTCTGGCAAACACCGATGTACAACTGACGCTCTTTCTCGCCGTACTGTACAAAAACGGGCAACGAACTGGAAGAAAAAAGTGTTTTCACTACTAGCAGTTTGAAAATATCGAAGAGCAGGAAGAAGTGTTCCTAAAAAATTAAGTTACAGAAACAGGATCATTAGAAGTGTCTGGACAGAATTGAAAAATTCCGCAAATAGCGGCGAAAAGCTAACCATTCTGCCCTTCCAAAAGAATCCGTAATTACTGACAAAAGCCCACGCAACTGATCCTCGTTCGACACTTTGTCTAACTCCCAGTCCGACGGCGTCAATAAAACATATTCAAGGACTCCAAACTGTAAAACTTGAAAAAACCAAATGAAGAATTAATGGAAGCCCATTTTATGGATAAGTTATTTAATTAAAGATATAAGCACCCTGCTTAACAGAGCACCCAGGACCCCAAACTCAGTGGCCTCAGCACTCCACCCCCTAAACCCAACAGCATTCTTGCTTTTCCTGTTTTACCACATTTGCTTAGCGGAGAATTTTCTTCTCTGCACCATCAAAGCATTCATTTCCCGCATTTCAACGTGCTCTGATTTCACTGCTCATGTGACCCAAATTTGGCTACTTTCAAAATCCGCAGTCCGATTTTAGCGCCCTTCTACGAAAGAAGCTTACTGCATTCTACCATCTCTTCCTTCAATACCTAATAAGCGTAAAAAAGTACACCGATGGCACTGGCACAGTAACCAGGCGTCGAAACAGCCCTCCCTTCCCTTTCTTCCATTTCGGCTCCAACACTATTTTCCTCAGTTAGGAAAAAATCACGATCACTTTATGCAAATACAGCAATTCCCTATATAAATCACACAGACTGAGGACTGCTGACGACACACACACACACACACACACACACACACACACACACACACACACACACACACACACACACACACACGAGGAACGTACGTTTTTTTATGCGTTTTTGCCTATATGCAAATTGCAAAAACGCATATTGGGACGACCCTGTCTGTCTGTGTGTATGTATGTATGTGTGTGTGTGTGTATGTTTGTGTGTGTGTGTGTGTGTGTGTGTGTTCGTCTGTCCGGGTATTTC